TAGGATTGATGATGATGATGATGATGATGATGATGATGATGATGATGATGATGATGATGATGATGATGATGATGAAGCTGATAGTGATGCTGATGCTGCTGCTGCTGCTGCTGCTGCTGCTGCTGCTGATGATGATGATGATCGCTGAGATGATGATTATAGTGATGATGATAACGACGAGCAGTACTCACCTGGCGATCCTCTGCAGTTGCCGAGAAGGAGATCCCATGAGCTTTGCACTTCCCCAGCAAGTCAATTGTCTTTCAGTCGTGTTGATGCAAAAGATTTCTCACCTGGCTCTCGAGCACAAGGTTGACAATATCCGTACAGAGAGTTTTCAAGAGGTACCTGAACAAACTATCAGATGGTGCTGCCGAGAAGAAAGGAGGGAGGAGGAGGAGGGAGGAGGAGGAGGGAGGAGAGAGGGCAAGAAGAGATGGGGGCGAGAAGAGAATGGAAGTAGGGGGATAGGGAGCGGAAGAAGAGGGAGAGGAAGCAAATGTGGAGACAGAAGAGAGGGAGGGAGGAGGTTGAGGAGAGGAGATTCGTTTTGTTCTCACTTCTCCATCGCCGCGGCTGTTTCGTCCGAAAAGAACGAGATCCCCTGCATGAGCGTGAGAAACGAGGAGGAGATGAAGAGAAAGATGACGATCAAAACAAACAGGTGGATCGATAGCTGGAAGGCAGGGGAGGGGAGGGAGGGGAAAGGAGGGGACCTTTCGGAAGAGGGAGAGCTGCTGGTATAGAAGGACAAACTTTGACTGCAACTCATCGTTCTTGACTCTCTTGGTCGCTGAGGATGTGAAGAGAGAGTTTGCAATCTCATGGTAGATCTGCAGAGCAAGACATGTCAACCTTCTTGACGTGCTCGTTACATCCTCCTGCTTACATCTTTAGCTTTTGACCGCAAGGAGACGACAACTTCTTGTATGAAATCTTCACTTGCAAAATCCTTGGAAAGAAAGTTCACTGTCAGCGATGGGGTATGGAAAGCAATGAGAGAGGTGCGAGGTCGGATTGAACGGCGAGTCATCCAAGATGAAGAGGTGAGTTGAGGTGCAAACGAAGTAGATGACATGTGAGAGAAGAGATGGGGAGATCAGAACATCTGAAACATGTTGGATGAGATGGGAGGGGATGGATGAGCAAGTAGTCAGGTGCTGGTGAATACCATCTCATGGTCATCAGAAGAAGACTTTAAGAAGTCTTTGACAAATTTTGAGGTTTCTGAGCACGTTGCTAGTCAGATACAAGAACAGCAGGAGGAGAACAACAAGAGAGAAAGAAGGAGGGAAAGGAAGAGGGAGAGGAGTAAAACGAGGAGGAGAACGGAAGAGAGAAGAGGTGAGAGCAAGTTCAAGATCAAGTAATTCAAACAACTTGACATTTCAAATTACCTCCATCATAGTCGAAAGAGCTTCCCTGCTGCTGCTTCCCCCCCTTGTCTATCTTCTTGGCCGAGCTCTCGTCTCCTCCTCCTTTTCCTTTCTTCTCCTTCTGCTTCGCTGCTGCTTCCTGCGCATGCTGGTTATACTGCTGCTGCTGCTGCTCGTCCTCCTCCTCCTCACCTTTAGTTCTTGTCTCTTGCTTCCTTTGCCCTTCTTCCCGTCTTCCTCCTCCTCTTCGACCTCCTTCACATTTTTCTTTCCTCCCTGTAGAAGGCACGAGTAAAACCCCTCCTTCTTCCTCCCCCTCCTCTGACGATCATTCACCTTCTTCTTTCCCCTACCCCCGTCGTCATCGTCGTCGTCGTCCTGTGCAGCAGCTGCGCGATCAATCAGAATCAGTCTGCTCCTGCTCCTGCTCCTGTTCCTCCTCTCGTTCCTGCTCCTTCTGCTTCTTCTGCTCCTCTTCCTCATCTCATTCCTGCTCCTTCTCGTCCTTGTACGCAACTTCTTCCTCGGCTCATCTCTCTCGAGTTTCGTTTCATTTCTTGCTTTGCCTCTCCTCCTCCCTCCCTCACCTGGGCTGACAAGATCGCTCTTGAGAGCAGCATGGAGCCTGTCCCCGTCCTGCCCCTGTGTCAGTCTATCGCCTCCTCCTCCCCTCTCCTCCCTTTCTTGTTCGCTGCCTCCCCTCCTCTCTTCTCCTCTCCTCTCCTCTCCTCCTCCCCTCCCCTCCCGTATTCACTCCTTCCCTCTCCTTCCGCTATATCCCCTTGCCTCCCGTCCTCTCACCGCTGTTGCTTTCGCCCGGATATGCTCGATGCACTGCATAAAAGTGAGGAGGAGGAGGAGGAGGAGGAGGAGGAGGAGGAGGGGGAGGAGGGGGAGGAGGAGGAGGATGATGATGATGATGATGATGATGATGATGATCGGGTGGAGGGGGAGGGGGGGGGGAAAGAGCGATCTATCAAGGATAAACAGACGAGGGGGGGGCGGGGGGGCTAGAAGAGTTAGTGACTCCTTCTGGACTTTGATGACGGGAGGGAGGTCTTCACTGCTACTCCCCTGATGGTTTGTAGAACGAAGAAGTGGCCGAACGACTGCTTGAAACATAAGACAA